ATCTCCCCATCCCTTGGTACCCACCTTCTGCCCTTGCCACTTCCCCACAAGCCCAAATAAAATGAAATAATTTAAGAGAAAAGAGAAAGAAAGAAAAATCTCATCATGGAGGCTGTATTAGGACACAGTGAGTAACACGGTATACCCTTTAGTCCATATATCTTTACTTGCAAGCGTTCATTAAAAAGATTCATTGGTCTGGTTTGAGGACCCTGGTTTCTGCCACACTATTGATACTGGGACCTCACTGGGACTCTGCTTAGATACCCTGTTGTTGCCCTGTGTCATGAGATCTTGCAGATCCAAAGCAGACCAGCCCATTCCATACTCCAGCAAATCATAGAGGGGGTGGATTCTGGGGTGCCCTAACTCATAGCCCTGGTTCTGGGGCTGGGTAGTTGCAGGGTTGGTTAGCTCGCCAGCTCTTCCCCATCCTCACCACCAGGGTGAGCTCTCCAACACTGCCCTGGTTAGTTCACCCTAAGCAGCAAGGAGCAAGGAGTGGGGCCGGTTCTCCAGCTTTCATGTCCTCAGGGCAGGCTCACCCACACCAGCTCTACTGAGTGCTGCAGCTGGTAAGCGTCAGGAACAGCTGTCCTGCTCTCATGAACGCTCATGACCTCAGGACCAGCTCTCCCACTTGCCACAGTGGGACGCACGCACGCACGCACGCACGCACGCACGCACATGCACACACACACACATGCACACCACATCTCTCCCTCACCCACTATGGCAGATGAGGCGGGTGGGACCAGATCTCCTACAATCACATTCTCAGGGCTGGCTTACCCCTGCCCCCGTCAACAGGGTCAACTCGACTGTGCTGCCCAGGGGAGGTGCAGAGCCCACTCTCCTGAGTGCTGCAGGTGGGGAGGGGCAGGGCCAGTTCCCCCTAGTGCTGTGGACAGTGAGGGGTGGGGCCAACTCTATGCAGCCCTATCCTATCAGTGGTAACAGGAACGACAGATGTCTATACAGACAGTGGCGGCAGCAGGGCCACAGACCCAGACACAGGTGTTGGCAGCAGCCCAGGCCCGGACATCACCATGGCCCTGAGTGACAAGCAAGCTACCTACCTCATTCTGCTCCTCACTGCCTTCTTCGCCTCTTCAGATCTGCCTCTCTCCATAGGACATGAACCATCCTGTCTGTCTGTCTGTCTCCCCACCCCCCTCTTTTCCATACCCCACCATGTATTTCTCACCATAATAGTGCTCCTGTGGCAGGCCCATGTTTTCTCCTCTCAGACAGGTCACCCCGGGCAGATGTGTGTGTCTCCTTCTCCCACTCACTCTTTTTGTTTCCTTGTGTATTTTATGAGACAGGGTTTCACTGTGTAGCCTCACTGTCCTGGAATTCACTCTGTAGGCCAGGCTGGCCTTGAACTCACAGAGATCCTCCTGCCTCTGCCTCCTGAGTGCTGGGATTAAAGGTGTGCACCACTACCTCCTGGCCCCTCCTGCTCAGTCTTAATGACCTCATTTTACTTAAGAAAAAAAAAAAAAACTTTTTGGAGGCAGGGTCTCTCACTGAATCTGAGACAAGCTGGCAAATACACATCCCATTCAAGTTCAACTTCCTGCTGCATTTCTGTTCTAGTGTCTCGTTCATCTTTTAAACATCAGATCTAAACCAGACTGCCCACTTTACTTACTGCCTTTTTGAGTTTCCAAGAGGGAGGGCCCTGTTGGTACCCATGAGCTACTGAAGCATGTCTTCCAGATAAAACTTCTCAAGTACAGCTAGCTCCACAAGGCAGGATGGAATTCACCTCATTCCTGAAGCAGGACATTGGTCTCAAAGACTTGGAACCCAGCCTTGGGTTCATAATTCTGAGTAATGAAGTCCTTCGATGAGGCCATAACTCATGGGAAGGCAGGCAGATTACTCTCAACTATGATAATAAGGTGTCATTGTTTATCAGGTCTACTGCTACATTAAAAACAGATTTGGGGGAGGAGGGAGGACAGGGGAATCCATGGTTGATAGGGAAAATGAATAGAAAATCTCTTAATAAAAAGAAGAGAGAAAAAAAACAGATTTGGGAGAAAAGGAGAGCCCAGTGTTCAATCCACATGAGTCATAAGAAACACCTTGACGTTCAGTGTTAGTGCATTTAAAAACGTCAGACTTACCTCAGGCACATTTGGCCCAATTGGAAGGCTGCGATGAGAGGAATTAGGGAGCTGAGAGTGAAGCCACATGCTCTGGTTTGCTTGACTACCTCCTGGCACAGCACAGATTACTAGTGCCTGATCTGCTGTCTGTGGGGCGTGGCTTAGACAGTCAATTCTATGGTCAACATAATTGTTGGGGTCTTTTGCTCAGTGGTGTCAGGGAGTCCTGACAGACGTCTGCTCCCTAGATAGTGCTTTGTTAGGGAGTGTGTGTGTGTGTGTGTGTGTGTGTGTGTGTGTGTGTGTGATGCACTCTCAGTTTGAAAATGTGGAGGTCAGAGGCTGACACTGAAATGTCTTCCTCAATGTTTTTCCACTCTTGTTATTATTATTAATATTAATTATTATTATTACTATTTGAGACAGTGTCTCTCACTAAATCTGGGTTTTCTGGTTAGACGAGGCTAACTGGCCAGTGAGCCCCAGGATCCACTTGTCTCTGGCCCCCAGCATCAGGGTTACATTACCATCAAACCTGGCTTTTTATATGGGTTCCAGTGGTCCAAACTCATACTAGTGTACCAAACACCTTACCCACTGACCATCTGAATTGCAGGCCTTTTAAAATGTACTCTATCACTTACTCAGGCACTTTGCAACTGAAAACAGTTTTTTAAATTGTAGAAGTTTATTCTGGAATGTTCTGGTCCTACCCACTCTCTTAGACTAAAAACCAATGTAATATTTTGTTTGTTTCTTTGTTTGTTTGTTTGGAGACAGGGTCTCATGTAACCCAAACTGGTCTCAAACTTGCTGTGTGGCAGGAGATGACCTTGAACTTTGGGGTTTTTTGCTCACACTTCCTGAGTGCTGGGATTATAGGGATGCCCCACCACACCCAGCTCCAATCTAGCCTGTTAAGGTTATGTTGCATATCTTAGTTTTGAACCATTATATAAACAGTAATGTTCCCCCTCAACCTCCAGAGGAGAGTTTTAGTTCCCATAATTCACCGTTCTGGGGAAGTGGTTAGTAGAGCCCACAGCAGCCTCCGACTGTCACCAGCAGTATGTACGCCCTTCTCTCCCCCTCTCTGCAAATGGATTCATTGTCAGTGTTCTGGATAAGCCCCCTCCGATAGGAATAGCTAGAGAGTGCACATGCACCTTAACATTTCCTAGTGGTTACATTAGCAACATGAAAATGAAACCAGAGACATTAATCCTACCATTTTAACCCAGCATATCCAAGATGGCGTCACCTCAGCCTGGGATCAGTATGCCTGAAATCGTCAAGCTAGTGCTTGTACAGCCTGTGAAATCCATTCTACACTCGGCCTACTTCTCACTCCAAGGCTTGCGCATTTCTAGACAGAGTGGTTGTGTAGTCTCTCTGAATCTCTACATTCTTTTTTTCCAGTCTGAACAAAGGAAATATGATAAGTTCTGTTATAAGAGGACCCGCATCTTGGGGATTCTGCACATCTTGCTTAGATACAGATTTTTATAAACAACTGTTTATTGTAGGGTTTGGGGAGGGCATGCTATGTCACCGTATTTCTCCTCCGACCATGTGGGTACCAGGGATCTAACTCAGGTAATCAGGCTTAGCAGCAAGTGCCTGTATCTGCTGAGCCTTCTCTTCATCCTTGTTTTTGTTTTGTTGAGATATGATCTCATGTAGTCCAGGCTAGCCTCTAACCCCCTCTGTAACCAAGGATGATGGTCAAGTTCTGGCCCTTCTGCCTCCCCTCTCAAGTGCTAGATTACAGTCATGCACCACCATGCCCAGTTTTATGCGATGCTAGCGATTGAATGCATGCCACACAAACACTCTACCCCCTCAACTGTATCTCCATACTGTGACTGAGATATGCTGCTCTTGTTTCTGGGTGTAAAGAGCAAACGAAGCACATGTTCACTATACAGACCAGAGGAGCAGAAACAGGTCAGTTCTAGACAAAATATAAAGCTGGTCCTCATCACTCTCCTCTCTCCATCCCCCTTTTCTTCCCAGTGACTAAGGTGCCCAGTGCCCTTGACTTCCTGGGCTCCCATGGGGTACCCACCCAGCCTGCCCTCTGGCTGTGCGTGTACTCTCTGCGAGTTCTTTTCTTCATAGAAACTCACCTCCTCTGTGGTTCCATGGTCTTCAAGGTCCCACATTAGGTGCTGTCTGAAAACCTGAGCTGAGTGATGCTAAGTGGGTACTAGGAGCTTCCAGGTTGTCTTAGTTATGATTGCTGTGATGAAACACCGTAACCAAAAGTAACTTGGGGAGGAGAGGGTTTATTTCACACACAGTTCCTTTCAACAGTTCATCATCAAAAGCAGTGATGGCAGAAACTCGAACAGAGCAAGAACCCGGAGGCAAGGAGCTGAGGCAGAGGCCATGGAGGGGAGCTGTTTACTGGCTTGCTCCTCAAGGCTTGCTCAGGATGCTTTCTTATAGAACCCAGGACCAGTATCCCAGGATGGTCCCACCCACAATGGGCTGGGCCCTCCCCCTTTCAATTGCTAATTAAGAAAATGTCCTACAGCCAGATCTTACAGAGACATTTTTTTCAATTGATTCATCCTGTGTCAAGTTGACATAAAACTAGCCAGCACACAAGTCATCATCTCAGAAACACTAAGTTTTAGATTGAGGCCCACTCACCTGAAAAAAATGGACAAAATGGATTTTAGTCTATATGGTCCCATCAAGTTTTTTTTTAATTATTTTATTGATTGATTGATTGGTTTTTTTGAGACAGAGTTTCTCTGTGTAGTTTTGTGCCTTTCCTGGAGCTCCCTCTGTAGTCCAGGCTGGCCTCGAACTCACAGAGATCCACCCCGAACTCACAGAGATCGGCCTGCCTCTGCCTCCCGAGTGCTGGAATTAAAGGCGTGCGCCACCACCGCCCGGCCAGGTTTTTTTTTTTAATGAGATCATTTCTCTGCACTGAAGATGTCTCTCTGTATAGTTGCTTACTGTCTTGAAATTCTGGCCTGCGTCAGCTCAGCATGGAGCAGAGGATGCTTTTCCATCTTCCCTGTACTTACTCTACTAAGAGCATGCCCAGAACTATGCATAACCTTTGGCTCTCTAGACATTTCCACCAAGCCAAAGATACATCCAGAGATGTATCTGTGCCGGTCAAGTTACCTGTACATTTTAGGAGGGAAAGACATTTGGGAATAAGCTGTATGTTTGTGCAAAATATCTGTGCATTTGGCTTTTCCGCTAGGGATTTAGCCTTGGGGATCTGCTGGCTGCCCAGGGAGGGGAGGCTTTTCAGGGTGGGGCTGAGGGTTTTTCTGCCAGTTTGAGGATGTTCTCTGTGCTGACTTACCTGTTGCCATGGAGACTGGCAGTACAAACACATGTTCCCACTTGGCTTCTGCTGTTCTATTGCTTAGGGCCTGTCAGCAGACAGTGCCAGGCAGCCTGGGCTGGCCTGTGTGAGGTGGCCACACCCACAGGATTAGCCAGGCGGTCCCAGCATGCTGTGCATTGACTCAGCAGCAGCAGGGATATTGCTCCAGGCTGGGAGCCAGTGGGTTGCTCTAGCCGGCCCCACTTCAGTCCTCGGCGGGAGAAGAGCCGAAAGCTTCATGTTCACAGGAGGCACATGAAGGGATATTTTTAAAAGTCTATTCTGAGATGTCAGAGTGGAACGATTGGTCCAGATAGTTCCCTCTACAGACAAGCAATGGCCTCACTTGTAAGGATTTAGTTTATCGGAGACCAATGGCTGGCCCAGCACCCACAAACAGGCTTACAATAAGCCAGGGCCTTTCTTCAGAGTGGTTTGGTAACCTGCTCAAAGCTCACTCAGCAGGCCTGAGATGGAGTCAGGTCATTTTCACACAGACTTAAAGTTTTGACTTTTTGTTGTTGTTGTTGTTACTCTGGAAGCCTCAGACCTGTTGGAACAAGACTGTAGGTAGAATGACAGATTTTGTCTTTGCTAAAATAGAAGCAATTTTTCTCCCTATTTCTAAAAAAGAGACAACCCTTTCCCACAAAAATAGTTGACCGCTCTAGGTGTCAAGAGTACTGGTGCCGTTCCTGGGCTCCTTCTATAAGATGGCCTGTTTGTGCTGTTAGATAGTAAGTTACTTATGCTCGTATACGGCACTGGTCAAAATATGGTCCAAGATAGTTTTGCATCTCAGTTAAACTTCATACCAACCTTAGAGGAGAGGACACTTGAGGCTCAGAGAGGTCGAGGACCCTGATCCTTGTCATCCACTGGAGTTCCTGCAGAACAATGGCCTGGGTCCTAGATGGGCAGGAATGAGAGAGATTGCCAGGTCCTCAGATGTGCAGGTACACGCACACATGCATTGTGCACACATGTCCATTCAATAAAGAACCCAGGAGGAAACGGCACCAAGGAGGGTGTCGACATCTACTGCCCACTCTGCATGGGATGCTCTTTCCCTTACACTGTAAATGTGACATCTTGCCGTGGGTCCTTGGCCACTCTGATCACCAAACCACAGCACAGGAGCCAAGCCTCTCACTGAGTCACTGCCCTGTCCTGCGCAGCTCTGAATGAGTGTAGCAGTGATGTGGGGAAGCAGAATTTAGGCCAGGTCTGAGATCAGTGCTCAGCATATGTGCTGTCCCTATAGCTGCTGCATTTAGCTTGGCATTCATCTCCATTATCAAGGCTCTTGTGTAAGTTAGCCATTTGTGTCCTTCTGCTAGACTATAGGCTCCATATTTGTGGGCTGACATGACGGCCACAAGGTGACTGACTGTAAATGGTAAATGCCACCCATGTAGTAGTGTCATAAACACACTTGTTCTCTCATTCCGTCAACAAACATTTATTGAGAGCCCCATGCATGCTGGGCATGAACAGTGTAACAATGCCATTTACAGTCACCTGCGGCTGTCATGTCAGCCCACTAGTAACAGGCCACTTTGTAGAATCTGTCTATCTCGGATCTCTGGAACAGTTCTCAGACAACTTAGTTTTGGCTACAAAAGGCTCAGGACAATTAAAACACAAGGGACAGAAGTGTCCTCGCAAAGCCAGTGCCCTTTTGAGGAGATGTAGAACTGAAGATTGGGCTCATAGGAGGCAAGAGAACCGAGGCTAAACACTGATATCTGGAGACAACGAGGCTGGTTAGAGATCCGCTCTCGGTCAGTAGGGAGTGGGCCTTGGGCACGTTGCTTGCTGTCTCCCAGCATCAGGATCCCCATCCTTAAAGTGCCCATAGTTTAGCATAGCAGTTCTGCTTTAGTGAAGGCGATATTACAGGGACCGTATTTACCCTCCAACCAGACACAATTATAAACCTGCGCACAACGCACGTGGCGGTAGTTTTCAGACGTCAGATGCTCTTGACACAGTGCTGTGGTCCTGAGCAAGGGAGAGGAATGATGTGAGCCAGCTGAGCACCCTAGTACAGTGCAGTGAGAGGGTCCAGGGCCGATTCCGGCAGTCCCTCAGAGTTGGAGAGATGCAGGTAAAGTTATACAGATGCCCAGGAAGCTGTAGGGTCAAGAAGGGGAGACCTACAAAAGAAAGAAAGGAGGGAAATAGTGACTGACCCAGAGGGGGATAGTGACTGACCCAGATGGTATTGTCATACATGTGAATGGGGGATCAGTGCCAGTGGATAGATTAAAGAAGATAGAGGTGTGTGTAGGCAGTAGAGACAGGGATGTTATAAACAGGATCGAAATTGGGCTGCTGGAGAAGGAAAATGACAATGTCTGAGATACAATGACCATAATTATCTCTGCAGGAGCCTGTGTTTCAAGGGTTCTTTTCTCATTTGCACGAATGTACGTGTTCATGCAAAACCCCCACCACATCCTGCCACCCCAACACACACACACACACACACACACACACACACACACTGTAAAATTAGCAATAGTGTCGGAATGTTGGTCCCTGGGCAAGGCTCTGATTTGCTATATTGTGCATCAGAAGGAGGTAACGGAAAGCCTAGTTCTATACCAAGAAGGAAAATTACCAAGTTCTTGCATAAGAGACTGCAAAGGAGCCAGCTGCCTTATCCTGGGTTTAGGTGGGATTTCATTTTGCCACTTACTAGTTGGGTAACTCTTGAGGAGTTCCTTCATCTTTACAATGGGAACTACAGCACTTCCTCAGTTAAGGCTGGCTAGGGCACATTTGATATAATTAGAGAACCACTACTTCAACTTCCTGATGAACAATATAATCACTGTTTTTGTGGGTTTACAGAAATCCAGGGATTGGACTACAACTATTCCACATGGAGCTGCATTTAATCTTCGTAACAATTCAGTCAGACAGTCATACCCTCAATTGACCAATGAGAGAAATATGGCTCAAGAGGTTCAGCAAAGCACCGAGGAGGGTCACCCGGCTCCCTCAGTGGAAATGAGTGGAGTTAACCGGGGAATGTTAAATCCTCTTATCCAGAGGCCGGAACTGGTTGTCTCCCTCCGTGGGTGCGCACATGCTCTAGGGTTGAGAGTCAGGATTCGAGAATGGGAGCGAGAGGACAGCCCGGCAGACACGAGTATGTAAGCGTGCACACATGGTTTGGGGAGATATGAAATAGAAAACGAAAATGACAGATTTACGTTGTGCAATATACTAACTTCCTGAGCAAAAGTGCTTTTCAACTGGAGAAGACAGGAAGAAAGACTGGCTTGGAATGAAACGAACTCTTTTCTGGGGCAAAGTGTAGTCCTGCTTGTGAGAGGTTTTGGTTCTGTGGTATGTCAAAGACCTTGCCTTCTAGCCCTTAATCCTGTTTTTTCTCATGGCTCTGACTTCCTCCTGAGAATGACTATCCTGTCCTCTCCTGAGGGTGCTTGGGGAGAGGTCAGTAGCTGTGGGCTCTACAGTTTTCCTTAAAAGAGAGAAGCTCTTAGGAAAAGTTTTCTTAAAAGAGAAAAGCGGAGAGCAGCCCTACCGGCCATGTGAAAACCCGAGCAGATGCAGGGGGACTGTGGAGTAGAATCCCTAGTTTGGGTTAAAAACAAAACCAACCCAACCAAAACAGCCTGTATTTTCGGCAGAGCAGCCCCAGTATGAGAAGACAGGGGCTGTTGCTGATGAGTATCTTTGAACGCTGGAGAGTTCTCAGAAACAAACGTGTCTGTGTATTTCTACAGCGTCTGGATTTATGGACTAACAGTAAAGTCATAAGGGATGGCGGCTTCGTTGGCAGCAATTTGCCAGATAATCCCACTTTCCTTGATAGCTAGGACTGAGACAATCACAGGTTCTTTTATTCCAACCTTAATTGCTAATATTTACTCTCAGATCACGTTCCGCATCACACGATAAATGTCTATTTTTGTAAGTATATATGTATGTATGCATGCATGCATGCATGCATGCATATTACATCATTACAGAGAGGCTACAAAGGGTTAAAGAGGCAAGGCATTTCAAAGAACTCCTAGCGGTCAGAGCTGGGAAACTGATAGAAATGTGAGGGAGTCCTGTTGGGCGTTGGCCAGGTACCAAACCCAGCCGCACAAGAGGCTGGAGGAGCTGCTGGCTGTTGGTAATAGTCGGGCTGAAGGACCCAAGTGGAGCTGCAGCAGTGAGGTGAGAAGGACAGACCTGGTCTGGACAGATGGCCAGCTGAGCAGATGGATGGTCAGCAGGTTCAGATGGGTGAGCAGATAGATAGACAGACAACAGTTCCAGTAAGCGGCATCAGCAGTGGGGACCCAATGAAGCTGAAGGCCCTGGCACAGTTGGGAGTTCTCTGCCTGTCCATCCCTTGACCACATAGAAGGCGGTCAGATGACGGTCGCCATCACAGTGTCAGAAGTCCATCTCTTTATGGGGTCCAGGAGAGGGGGTTATATCCTTCCTAGGTCTAGCGTGTCTGGTAAGTTCTTGGTCCTGGTTTTTCTACTATGATTTTAATATGCCCATGTGGCCCCAGAGTCTCAATTGACATGAGAAATTTATAGGACCACACCCTTTGTACTCTCAGGAATAGGTCATTTTTTGGTCTGTGCTGTGAAGGTGGTGTTTGACAGATGATGCCGTTCACATGTCCACCCAGATGCAGAGTCATCCTGCTTCCTCAAAATGGATTCAAAAGCTGCCTGTAATGGAATCTCTCAAGGCAAGATGCAGCCTAAAGAAACAACTATTTCACATGATACAGGAGTAACTTAAGGCAGTGCACACTCCAATCCTAATAAGAAGCTGAACTACAGGAACTGAGGGAGGCCAATGTCATTCCTAAAAGTTCTAGGCCTCCATTTTGGTCATATGAGTAGGTCAGCATGGAGCATAGATCTTGAGAAAGATGTGCTGGGAAGTGAAAGAGAAAGGCATTTCATAATAGCAGCCGCAATGACCCCATTGCTCTTCAGAGGCCGATCTCTTAAGAGAGGAAGCTTTATAACGTATAAACGATGTGCAGTCATTGGACTATCTTTAATGACAATGTCAGTTCACTCACTTGTCCCACAAACACTCACTAATGCCTAACTCATGTCAGCAACAGCTGGAGGCACTGGGGACACCCCACACCTTTCATAGAGATAATGTCTGATCAGAGGGTCAGGGTACAGTTCAGTGGAAAGGCATAAGGGCCTGGGTTTGATTCTCAGCCCTGCAAAACAAAGCAAAAGAAAACAACAACTTCTTCCCCACGCACTCGTTTGAATGGAGGGAACAGATCACCAACAAATAAATACATACACAGTAGCAGCAGATGATGAGATACAGGAAGGTCTTACTTAGTAGGGGTTGGGGATTGGTATAGACGTCCCCTTCAGGGCTGAGCACTCAGAACTTATTCTTAGCACTTTGACTGATTTGCATCTCTGCATTGACTGCTGTCCACTGCAGAGAGGCTTCTGGCTGAGGTTGGGGGTAGCATTAATCTATGGGTATAAGCATAAGTATTTAGAAGACAGTTTGACAACATGTTGTATAGCAATAACAACTGTAGTTGGTTCCTCTCCAGGCCTGGGAGGTCGCAGCCTTCATTTGACTGACAGTTTCCTTTGATATATAAAAACTTTTTAATTTCATGAGATCCTGTTTGTTGATTATTGGCCTTATTTCCTGAGTGATCAAAGTCCTGTCAAAAAAGTCCTTACCTATGCCTATATTTATAAGTGTGCTCTCTAATTTTTTCTTTAGTAGTTTCATGTTGGTTTGTTTTTCAAGATTTCTTTTTTTTTCTTTATTCATGTGCATATATGTTTGTGTAGGTGCTTGTATGCATGTATATGCAGAGGCCAGAAGAGGACAGCCTGGTCTTTCTATATCATTCTCTGCCCATTTCTTTGAAGCAGGGTCTCTCCCTGAATCTGGGGCTTTTGTTTTCTTGTCTAAGCTGAAAGCCAGCAAACCCTAGGGTTCCCCTATCACATGGGTTCTGCAATTTGAACTCTGGTCCCCATGATTGTGGAGCAGGTGCTATTAAGCTCTGGGCCTTTTCTCCAGCCCCTTGCTTGTTTGAGACTGTCTTGCTGTGTAGCCTGGGCTGACTTCAAACTCATGGCAATCTTTCTGTCTCGGATTCTGGAGTGCTAGGATTCCAACATTTTCTAAGAAATCTTATATTCATGCCCACCTGCTCTGCCCCATGTCTTTGGGGATTTGGGCTGGGCATGGGTCTGGACCAGAGGTCCCTCCAAGTATCCTCCCATGCTTTGCTTAGCTTCCTCTTCCAGAGTGGTATCTGAAATAGTTAAAGCCGATTTTTAAGTACTTGACACGTTGTTTGGCTTTTTGTTTGTTTTATTTTGTTTTTCGAGACAGGGTTTCTCTGTGTAGCTCTTGCTGTCCTGGAACTCACTCAGTAGACCAGGCTGGCCTCGAACTCACAAAGATCCACCTGCCTCTGCCTCCCAAGTGCTGGAATTAAAGGTGTGGGCCACCACTGCCAGACTTTGTTGTTATTCTTTTGTCTCGGCACTATTAGATAAGATCTGTCATCCCCATTTATAGATACAGAATCTGGGAGCTCTGAGAAGTTAGTCTGTTCACAGGTGCTAGTCGAAAGCTGAGTCCAAATTAGTTAAGTTTATGTCTTCAGAATCACTGTACTGTGCTGTTCCCTTCCCTCCTAAGGCCCACGTGTGAATGGATGAAGGAATGTGTTATGAATGATAAAAAACTGATCTGATTCTGATATCTAGGCAATTAGATAGCCAGAGTCTGGGAACCCCACTGACCTATTGCAGAAAGCAAGCATAGATTGAAACCCTTGACCACCGAGAGAACAGAATTGGAAAGAGTGGAAAGAGTAAAGTATCAGAGTACAGTCATTAATCACAATTATATTTAGTGTGTGTGTGTGTGTGTGTGTGTGTGTGTGTGTGTGTGTGTGTGTGTGAATACACATGCCGTAATGCATATGAGGAAGTCAGGGATCAGTGTTCTTCTTCTACCATCTGGATACCAGGGATCAAAGTCAGTCATCGTATTTGAAGGTAGCAGCCTTTACCTGCTGAGCATCTCACCTGCCTGACTACAGCCATTTGTAAGAAATAATATTGAGGGTGTGGAGTTTGTGAAGAGTGCAGAGAAAGCCTGCCCACGTCAGCTTTGGGAACATTGTGGAGGGCCACTATGTCTGTGTTTTGTTTTTGTTTTTGTTTTTAAGCTCATGGTGCCTTTGAATGGCCAAGAAGAATGCCTCAGGGCTGTCTTTACGAGTCCTGGTCTGCAGCAAGAAGGGAAGGCCATAGGAAGAGTGTCTAGATACTGATGGAGTTCTGTTGACTACAATTTATTCTGGGAAATAATTGAAGTTCTATACACATTTCTCACCTGTGACCCTGTATGATCATATTGAATGATTCTGAAACACTTCCTGATTCTGCTTTGCCAGACACCTTCTCCAGGCCCCCATGGGAGTTCCTGGTATGAGGCTGTGGGTGTAAGAATCACCTCAAGGTTCTGGAGAGGTTAATGGTTAAGAGCACTTGCTTTTGTAGAGGACCGGGGTTCAGTTCTCAGCATCCACACAGTGGGTCACACTCATCTGTAACTCCAGTTCTAGAGGACCAAGCTTCCTCTTCTGGCCCCCATGGTCAATAAGAATACATTCAGCACACTAATTTACATGTAGGCAAAACACTCGTACACATAAAATAAAAATAAAAGGAAAGAAAAAGAGTCACCTTAAGAAATAATCCAACTCTAGGCTCTGGGAATCTGCAGATATCTGCTGCTGCTGCTGCTGCTGCTGCTGCTGCTGCTGTTTCTGGGAGCTTCGAGGGGCATACTCTGAGGGACAGTTGGGGCAAGAATCAGAGACCAGTGGAGATGGGCCCCTCTGGTGCAACTGAATCTGAGAACTGAGGGAGTGCCCTCTGAGGGGCATTTACCTTAGTAAGGGACTCTGGTGCTATGACCTCTGTCACCGCTGTGTCCAAGAGGAAACTGTTCTGTGCCACGTGTTGAGGAAGAATACCCAGGGCCATCGCCACAGGTACAGGATGGATGAACTACAGTAGAGGAGAGAGATGGGGTTCAAGTCCCTACACAGCAAAGCCAAACGTGAACTCACAGCCAAGGGGCAGGAAGGGGTCAGTGGATGGAAAATTTCTAAGAGGAAACATCAGGGATATGGGGAATTCTGGCAAGCCTAAAAGGATGCTTGCTGAAGACAGGCCAGGGTATCCCCATGTCACAGTCACGTGGTTGATTTTTCTCTCCCTTGTTCTCAGGACGCAGGAGGAGCTTGATGGGCATAGGCCCAGAGCGGGGAGCAGTGTGGGGAAGTGATACAAACCCCATACAGGCCCAACCAAAATGACAAAGGCAGCCAGCCAGATCCTGAGCCTTCAAAGAATGGGATAGCATGGTCTCTCCAGATCTTCCGCAGGAGACTTGGGGACAGCTTGGAAACTTTTTCTGTCACCAGCTCATTTGCAGGCTATGACTCCGGCCAGAGGATGGCAGTCCTCTGGCTGTTTACAGTCCCTAGAGGCCACAGCAGCGAGCATGTGATTAATTTTCCTTTCCTTTGTGAAGGAATTTCCAGCAGTCCCCATGGGCTGTGTCCCGGCTGCACAGAGAAGGGACCTGCTGTGCTGTTATATGAGCTCCCTGCCACCCCCAGAGGCCTGCAGCCAGCAGAGTCCTTACTCACCACAGAGGCATGTGGCTGTAAATGTGGGCCCGGCCTGTGGGGAGAACATTTCCATTCCTCTTTTTAAAACCAGTTGCATGTTTGCAGAGGAACACAGCGATGAAGAGGTTCTTAACTGACACCACGTAGCTAAGCTGACTAGCTTGTCTCTCCCCCCTCCCCCCTCCCCCCACGTATAACGTCTAGTCGCCAGGTCATTCCCGTGGCTTAGAATTAGGTCCACGGCATGCATAGAGGCCTGACAGTCACGGATGGAAGGGGCGGCGACCTGGGTTTCCTTCAGTGTCAGATGCACCTGGAGCTTGTTAGTTCCCCAAAGAGCTGCAGGGCCAGGGCCCTGGCACTTCTTTCCTTTAGGGTCTGTGGCCCATCAGTTGTAGTCTAGGGGGCAGTCCACAGGAGGCTCCTCCTTTTCTGTGAGCCACAGGGCAAAGCGCCCCCATTTCCAGCACACCCTATCATCTCGGCCTGGTTACAGTATCATATTAGGAACAGGGAGGGAAAGAGGCCCTTGGCTCATGTCACCTCCTTTAAAGGAAATAAGCTTATGGTCAGACTGAGCCGTTCCTGTCCCTTGTGTAGGAGGCCAAGCTATCATCCCCCATGTTCTCATAGTTTTCCGTATCCAGGCAACGGCTCAGGAAACAGGCCCCGGCTGGCCGTCCTGCAGGACTGGCCGGAGGAGGCAGTCTTCCTTCAGTTCCCAGTCAAAGGTCTCGGGAGCCGCATCTGTTTACATCTCTCCCCAACTCAACCTCACTGTGAAATGTCTGAGATTATCTTCCAAGGCTCTGACAAAACACAGTCTTTACATGTAGTCTCTCATGCACTCGCACACAGACACAGACAGACAGACAGACAGACAGACACACACACACACACACACTGATGCATGCACACAAACACACACATGCAACAAGTTTTCTTTTACATGCCCCCCCCCCCCAATAAAACCATCAGAATTTTATGTCAAGAAAGTAAATCTTAGGAAGCGGGACTCAAGCTTTTTAAAAGACAGAATTAAGTTTAGAGTTTGTAATTGGCTGCTTTTACTTTTCTTCATTCCTGCCCAGTCATCTGAGACTGCCCCCTCCTTGGGAAGGAGACCCAGCAGGCTGAGTCAGAACAGGTCATGAATCATTGAGCAGCCTACAAAGATGAACAGATGGGCTTTGCCCGTACTCAAGCCTGTTCTTCCCAGTTAGCCACCAGTCCCATTGTCTGCTACTGTCCTGTGGAACGTCACTGTATTTTATGGTTCTAGTACGGACTTCATCTTTGCCCCTACACTGTGTGTGAATGAGTTTTGATCTGTGACATTATAGAGCAATAATTTGGAAGGCAGAAACCCTGCCTTTCATGAAGTTTCCAAAACAATTCTAGGAGATTTTAAACACACACACACACACACACACACACACACACACACACACACACACACATCAAAAGTGGTAAAGTAAGAAAGGAAATATTTAATAGATAGTAGTCTCCTAAATAGACGTGTATAGGACACATTGTATGTGTAAGCCTCGCCTGTGATATTATTCACTTCTTTCCATTTGTTTGCAATAATACAATGGCTCAGGGAATGGAGGGACTAAGGCAAGGCCTTAGAGGGAGCTAGAACACAACACTTGGGGTTACAACAGCAACTGTTCTCCACCTGGTGACTTGGTCCTCCAGGACACTAGGTAATGCATCTGGTGGTCACAGCTAAAGGGACTGTCCTGGGCATCAAGTGGGTGGAGGCCAGTGGTTCTGCTGCATGTCTGACAAAGTGCAGGGTAGCCCCACAACAGGGATGTTCTCAGGTTCAAATGTCATTAGTGGTGAGGTCTGGGATGCTGGCTGACCCCTCATCAGGCCTTTTCCTGATGGCCTTTTCTCACATGGCCTGGGCATGGCACCCTGTCCTGTTCTCAGATTTCTTTACTGCTGATAAGAGGCTCAGGTTGTTCTGGCTCTGGCTGGCTTTACCAAAAACAAATCAGTACATGTTCAAGTGTGTGATGTCATTTATTATCTTAATCATAGAACTACACCATGAATCACAGACTGTGAAGGATAACGTTTGTTTCCCGCCTTGCCAGATAAACACCATGTTTAGACAAAGCCAGACAGATTTTCTATAAAAGAAGGAAAAGCACACTTTTTTTGTGTGTGTGTGTATGTGATTGTATGGTGTGAGTTCCTGTGGTGTGTGTGTGTGTGTGTGTGTGTGTGTATGGTGTAAGTGCATGTGATGTGTGTGTGAGTACCTGTGATGTGTGTATGTGTATGTGTATGTGTGTGTGTGAGAGAGAGAGCCTGTAGTGTGTGTGTGTGTGTGTGTGTGTGTGTGTGTATGTGTATGTGTGTGTGTGAGAGAGAGAGCCTGTAGAGAGTGGAAGTCAGAGGACAACCCGTGAGAGTCAGTTCTCACTTTTCACCTCATTAAGGGAGGGTCTTTCTTGTTTCTTCTTCCATCTCTATGTACTGTAGGCTGGCCAGCTCACAAGCTCCTGTCCATGCCTCCCACCTCCAGGCAGGAGTGCTGGAATTACAGATGTGGGCTAGTACATCTGGCTCTTAACACTGAATTCAGGTCCCCAGGCTTCCACAACACACAAGTACTCTCAAACATTGAGTCAGCTCCCCAGCCCTCCCAGGTGACTTTCAAGCATGCTATTTTTACTATATTGATCTTTTTAAACTTGTAATTTTAATTTTTTGTGTATGTGTGTGTGATCATGTGTATGGATGGACATGTGTGAGGAGGTCAAAGGTCAACCTTGGGTGTCACTTCCCAGGAGCCAGCTACAATTGTTTTTGAAATAAGTTCTCTCTCTCACTGGCGCCTAGGCTACCTGATTAGGCTAGGCTGGCTGGCCATCAGGCCCCAGGGACGGCCCCCCCCCTCCACCCCCCATCATCCACCATCTCCCCCTTTCCAGCAGTGAGATTACAGTTGTGCACCTCCACAAGAAGCTTTTTACATGGGTGCAGAGACTAAACCCAAGTCCTTGTGCATTTGCAGCAAACATTTTATCGACCCCAGCCCCCCATTTCATTATTCTTAAAATATCAATTAACCAACCCCATAGCTGATTGTGGTATTTAAAATCCATGCATGAATCAAAACTCCCCCTGGGTGTCTGTAGGGGCTGTGGAAGTGTGGTGGAGATAGTAGGGCCCTCATCTCGTGCTGTGGGGTAACTGTTTTGTCTGGGGGAGGTGGAGTGAGGTGTGTAACTCTGTCTTCATCGTGTTAGAGAAATCCAGCCCAAGTAAGGTGAAAACAATGCTCCAAGTATACTAATTTTGTTTTAATATGCTAACGTTCATTAAGGTACTATACAAAGTTCCCATCCGTTCTCAGCAGTGTCTGGTAGACCTGACTGCTGTATGGATCTACAAAGAGTGAAAAGCTCACTCATGCTTCTGGGGGCCAATGACTTTCTATTGCTGGCTAGGGTCTGCCTTGTGCTATATCACAAGAGATGAGAAAATGAGATGGTTCTCATATGCAGAGAGTTGTGTGTACATACGGCTACATATCAGAACATGTACTCTTCCAAGAAACCATGGCCAAATAGTCCAGATTCCTAGGCAAACTGTGAAACTACCATGATGTTCTGGTCTTCTGCAATAGAATCTACTATTCCCAGAGTAAAACAGCTCAATACCTGAAGTCACTGAGGTATGTGGTGAGCCACAGATCCTACGGGCTGAGGTCTGGGAGCATGGATGTACATATGGCACTTCAAAAATATATGTGCCTACACCAACACCAAGACTTCAAAAGATGATATATCCATACTCAGCCTTCACTTCCTATTTTTTTTTTCTGGTGGTGCAAGAGATTGAACCCAAGGCCTTGAGCATGATAGGCAAGAGCCATATTCCAAACCTGCTTCCTGATTTTTAAAGAAAATGTAATACATTCTAAGATGAAACAGTTTTCTACAAGATGAAATTTTCTGATTTTTACTTATGCCTAAAAGAACACTTTACCTAGAGTTACATGAAAATAATCAACCAGTCTCTCCACATGCGCTGTTGTTGGGGATGTTTTTGGAGGCAGGGTGTTACTATGTAGTCCCGGCTAGCCTTGGACCCTTGATTCCCCCTGTCTCTGTCTTCTGGGTGCTCAGATTATAAATGTGTACTGCCATGCTTGGCTTATCCTGATATACATAAACATACACATATAACATACATACATTCATAAAAACATAATATACTCATACATATACACACATACATATGTATATACATGTGCATAGACACGCATGTTGGTACAAGCCAGTAATGTCAGCACTCAGGATGCAGAAGTAGAAGGAATTTGAGTTTGTGACCAGCCTAGCCTAGGCTACATAGTGAGTTCAAGTACATCCTGAGTTACTTAGTAAACCCCTGTGTCTTAGTTTCTTTTCTATTGCTGTGACAAAACACCATGACCAAGGCAACTTAACAAAATAAAACATTAATTGGGCTTACAGTTTCAGGGCTGAATGATGGTGGAGCAGAGGCATGCCAGCAGGAGCTGCCGAGAGATCACATCTTGATCCACAGCAAGAGGCTGAGAACAGTGCACACTACAATTCTTTTGAAACCTCAAAGCTCGGCCCCAGTGACATAACTCCTCCAGCAAGGCCACGCCCCTTCATCCTTTCCAAACAGTTCCACCAGCTGGGGGCCAAGTATCCAAACAGATATGCCTATAGGGACCATTCAAACTACACACCCTGTCTCCAGAACAAAACAGAATGAACAGAACTATGAATCTCTTTTGGCCTGGAGATGCAGCTCAGTAGTTGGGTGCTTTAGCACCATGTAAGGTCCTGAGTAGCACCACAAGCACAAAAGTCATGCCCGCCCCCCCCATCAGTTAGGGCTCAGCGCTTAGTTTTCTGTTTTAATGCTAGTGATACTCTGTTCTCTAACATTGCTTCCTATTAATAGGAGTCACTGTAAACATCGGCGAGCTGTAAGTAACCAGACATCATTCCTCCTATTTCTCTATCCCCTTTTGCAGTCTGCACATTGAAATGAAAGCCCCCAGGCTCCATGCCTCTCTAATTCCTCCTCCACCCACATTTCAGGTAACATCCTCCAAGTCAGAGATAATTTTCCATGGGTTACTTTTCCTTTTAAACATTTTAATATTAACCCCTTGTGTTCTATTAAAAAAAAACTTTCAAAAACAGGCCTTAATTATATAAAATTTTCAGATATTCATTCGCAGTACCTGTAGACTTACTCATTCTTCCCACCAGTCCACAAAGACCTTTTAAGTGTCTGCCATGTTCCAGACAATGGGTTGAGCAGAACAGAAGCAACCAGTGTGCCCAGGGAGCATATGCTAGAGACCGGCCCACCGTGTGCTCTTCTGCCCATCGGTCCTTGTGCCCAGGGAGCAGAGGAGGGAGTGGCAGAGACCAGACACAGAGAGCAGAGAGTACATCTTCATGTGGATGCTGTGGCAGAGGGTATGGGCTAGCGAGTCAGCCCCATCTGTAAGACTAGCCCCAGCAGCCGAGTATTAAAGTAGCACTTCGAGAAGGGTGACTTGGGGAAATACTGCCCAGTGGGTAGTGTCTGGGTCCTTTTAAGTCCCCGTTAGAGAGGACTGCTTTCCTTGACTACTGAGTCTTTCTTACATCTCTCTCTTTCTGAAGTCTGGGGGCCTCTACTCAATGGATCCCTCACTC